AGCTCTGAGAGAATTTGTGACTGACCCAAGGTAACACCAGCAGCTGCAAGTGGAGGAGTGGGGAAGCAAATCCGGTTCTCCCAGATTAGAGTTCGTGCACCTAACAACTATACCAAACAGGCCCACGAGGAGGGAATCCGGGCCCAGGAGGGTGAATTCTCCAGACCAAGGTCTTCAAGGCCATCTCCTGGAGCTGGAAGCATAAGCCGGACCCCGACAGGAAGCCAGTAAAAGACCCTGCTCTGCTGACTAGATCGGGCTCCTTGTATTTAAACCAGGAGTGGCTAATCCACGTTTCAAAGGGGATCAGAGATTCATGGAGGAGAGGCATATTGGTGGCTACTAGCCAGGGTGACTAAAGGGAACCTCCACTTTCAGGGGCAGTCAGCCTCTGACTACCAGAGCCAAGAGATGATATCGGGGGAAGGCCTCAATGCCCTGTTGTTGGCTCTCCAGAGGAACTGGTTGGCCACCGTGTGAGACAGGATGCTGGACTAGATGGACCCTCACTGGTCTGGCCCAGCAGGGCTGTTCTGATGTTCTCATGAAGGCCTCAGCCTCTGTGCCCTGTTGCTGGCCCTCCAGAGGAACTGGTTGGCCACCGTGTGAGACAGGATGCTGGACTAGATGGACCCTCACTGGTCTGGCCCAGCAGGGCTGTTCTGATGTTCTCATGAAGGCCTCAGCCTCTGTGCCCTGTTGCTGGCCCTCCAGAGGAACTGGTTGGCCACTGTGGGAGACAGGATGCTGGACTCGACGGACCACTGATCTAATCCAGCAGGGCTCTTATCTTCTCAGGGCTCTTCTCAGGACCTCAGCAGGGTATAATCAGAGTCCTCCCTTCAAAGTGACCATTTTCTCCAGGGGAATGGATTTTAGTTGTCTGGAGATCAGTTCTACTAGCCAGAGGTCTCCAGATGCCACTTGGTTAATCTAGATTCTCTTCCCCCCCTTCCCTGCAGTTCGCAAAAGCAGTGATCAATGGCTTCGCTATGGGGAATGGGAGGGTTTACTCCAAGGAGGAGGGGCTGTGAAAAGCTCGCTCTCCTGTCTTGTTAACAGAGAAGCAAGAGAGGCCTGTCTGGTGGCCCAAACAAGGTTCTGGGGAAATTAAACAAAGTACGAGTGACAAATCGCCCCATCGCCCCGGAGGTCTCCCCTCTCCACGTCGCCCTGACATGTTTACGCTGACCTTGAAGCAACTTTGGCATTAAGGTTCTGCTGCAAACATTCCTGATTGCACAGCGGGGAAGGCTGATTTCTTCCCCCAAAGTGTGTCTTCGGGGCCGGCGCCGCATTGCTAAAAGCCCCCCTGAAGGGTAGATGTTTTTATTCTGCGGAAGCCGCCTGATAAAGGTGACATTCTCAAAAACAAAATGACAACTTACTATTTTCCCTTTAAAGTTCAAATAGGTAGAAAATAGTAATCACAGTAATGGGGGGGGGGAGAGAAACCCTCGGCTGGTGATTTTCGGCACGAAACGTAAGCGGCCGTTTCAGTCTGTCGCTACAGCCCCCGGGATGGTAGACAAACCGAAGGGCCTGCGCTGATTAGACGCTGCGCACAGGGTCGCAGGTAAAATCCCAAGTGTTCTTTCCCTCGGCGCTCCAGCATAGTATGTGCTGGCTCAGCAGATACGCCAACCGAGGCATTTCCGAAAAACAGAAACCAGAGTCAGACATCCCAGGCAGAAAAAAGAGAGGTGTGTCGGTCATAGGCTGCGGTCACACGGAGCATTAGCCATGCTACAGAGACGGAAGATAGGCGGATTTTCCGGGTGCGATCACACCGCAACATCTGGGAAGCGTAGAGCTCCCGTGGCTCACCCGAGGCTTCCCGCTGAAGATGTGCCGTAAAAAACTAGTATCTCCGAGGTACTAGTTTCCGGAAACCGCGGGGCAAGGGCGGGCGTCTGATCACGTTTCCGGTGGTAGCTCGTGGCATCCGGCGCCTGCCCATGTCCCGCTGCGAAAAGGTCTTTTTTTCCAAGTCTCCACGGGATGTGCACAAGCACTCAATGGCGAATGCGCACACTTCGGGTAAAAAAAACAACACAACCCCCGCCGCGCTGTTTCTTTGCCGCGCCGCAGGATTGACATATGATCGGCACCTCCCCCCGAACCACGGGACGTCGGCAGGATGTTTGATCCGGCGGCCGTGCGGTAGTTCGCTCCGGGGCAAACAGCCACGTCTCCCCCCCCGCGATATCCCCCCTGTGTGACCGGGGCCATAAAGGAGCAATTTGCAGGTCAATTCTGCTCCCGTGGACTCTCTCCCATTCCCTTTCCAGTTTCACCTGATCATTCCAAGTTTGGTGTGAGAGCCAGTTTGGTGTCGTGGTTAAGTGCGCGGACTCTGATCTGGGAGAACCGGGTTTGATTCCTAAGCAACAGTTCTGATAACAAGCCGGCAGGTGGGGGTGATGACTTCTATAGTCAAGAAAGCTAACACTCAGGCAGAAAAACTCTCCAAAAGGAGACCAGTTTCTTGACACAGAGTCAGAAGGTATCCTAGAGGTCACCTACTCCAACCCCCTCGCTCAGTGCGGGAATCAGTCGACGACAGCACCCCACTCTGCTTAAAGGAGCGCATGCCTTTTTAAAAAAATATGTTTTAAAACGATTGAAGAAAGCATTCACGGGAGAAATTCTTGTGGGGCTGTGCCTTTAAGAAAGGGGGCAGATCCCCCTAAAGCCCCTCCGTAGCTATGGGCCTGCTTAGCTCCCAAGCTCTGACAACCCTGGGCTAAGCTGACAAGCCTGGGCTAAGCCGGGACATTCAGGTCAGGGGCCCCAAAGACAAGGGATGGATACTTTTGGATTGCCTGGGAACTATGCTGCGGTCCTCACCCGTTCCTGCTGTATGTCCTACCTGACTTCCAAGTGCAGAACCAGCAAGCAGCGGTCCGCCATCTCCTGGAAGGATCTCGCCAGCTCGGTGAGGGTCTGCACGATCTGTTCGGACACCGGTGGAAGGTCCAGGTTGGAGTGTCCGTCTTGGTTGGGAGACACTGCAAACGGAGGTGAAGAAGCCATCAGATTACTCTGTTTAAGGATACGATCTGTGCTGGCTGCGTGTTGACTGCTGCCGTTTCTCTATTTTTAGTATGATTATCAGGGGTCATTTCCCGCAGGAGCGCACAGGAGCGGAGCTCCGGCAGTAAAGAGCCCAGGGGGCGTGCACACGCAACAAGCCCCGCCCCCTGCTCCCAGCAGCCCTCCGTCAGAGCAAGAAGCAGTCAGGTAAGTTCCAGAGCCCCCCCGGCCCCCTTCAG